CTCCTCAACCACGGTTTCTCACCTTGGCACTGTTGGCATTTGGGGTGAATCCTTGTTGGGAGCTGTCCTGTGCATGCAGGGTGTTGGCAACATCCCGGCCTCCGCCCCTGGATGCTGGTAATGCCCCACCCCTGCACTGTCACCAGCCAAATATCCCCCGAGGGGGCAAGACCTCCCCGGCTGGAAGCCACCGGGCTAGAGGCACCCTCGATTTGAGGGTCAACTGTAATAATGCCTCCCTGCCGAGCCCTCAATGAGGCTTTTACAAAATCCTGTTCTCTTGAGGACGCCACATTTCAGTAAGTTCAGGATCGAGAGGGGCTGGTCGCGTGGCCCGAGGTTCCCCAGGAAGCCTTGTCTGGAGTGCCGGCAGCTCTCACCGTGGTAACTGCCACAGAGGCTCCCAGGTGGGGCAGGAGCAGGGGCCGCGGATGCCCCAGGGGAACGGCCAAGGCCTGGACTCGACACCCCAGCAGGGCAGGGGCTGCGGGAGGGCCTCACCCAGCCGCAGAGGATTCCTGGGTCTAGTAAAGGCAGGAAGAGTGAGCGGCAGGGACACTGCTGCCTCAGAGTACAAAGAAGACAGATGCAGCTGTGGGTGTTTACTCAGTGCCAGGCACTGCTCCGCGGCCCGTGTCGTCATGGTGTTGAACCCAGACAAGAAACAGAGGCCGGGGCCGTTCACAGCTTCACCTTGGTGAAGGACGTGAGGCTGAACGCCGCAGTCTTGCCTGGTGTGGTTTCCGTAAGGGACCGGGCGGAGAGCCCAGCCAGGACATGTGCAGCCCAGCACCAGCCAGGCCCCCAGGAGCCAGGGCCTACGAGCCTGAGGCCGACATCGCTCCGCCCACGTCAGGGGTCCCCAGGAACTGTGGGAGGGAGCACTTGACCAGCGTGGAGAGGGCAGGCGCGTGGCCTGTGGACGTGGGCACTCCATGCTGGGTCACACAGGCATTTGGCTCAATGACTAAGCAGGTGGCTTCCAGCCCTCAGATACCCAAGTGGTGGTTGATCAAAATCACCGTAAGATCGGAAGTTAACAAATTTCGGGGGCTGGTGTTCCACAGAGTCTGCTCCTGCAGACTGCTCGTCCCCACCCTCCCCGACGGGGGTGGCTGCAGAGTTTCTTGGTGTAGACAGCCCCCTGACTGAGCCCGCATTTCCCAGGGAGGCACTGGTGGGGACAGAAGCAGGGGCCCAGGGGCAGCCGGAAACTGACTCCTGGGCCTGGTTCCACAAGCTGAGGGGCCTCACAGACGGCTCAGACCTGGCTGTGCTTCTCTGCTTCAAGCCTTTGGTGGGTTCGAGTCCCCAGGGAACCACTGTCCTTCTCCAGGGGCACCCCCTCTCCCAGCCAGCCCGGCTTTCCTTCCAGTCTGCTGCCCGTCCTCCCTCCCCTCACCTGCTCTTCTCCTCCTGGTGTCTGGGCCCCTAGCTCAGCTCATCTCTCCTGCCCCTCTGCCACACACCTGCTCCTCCACCCCTGGGGACCCCCTGGGCGCCCCCCGCATGGCAGCTTCCCTGAGCACCTGGGTGGGTGTCCTGTGCGTCCCAGCTCCCGGTCTGCACCTGCCCATTTACTGGCCCGCCTCCACTGGCCCAGAGAGCTGAGACAGGGCCTGGCACACAGCCATTCCCTCAGGCTCCATCCTGTACCCCCTGTGTTGGGGTTTCTGTGTCCCACGGCCTCGGAGGACCAGGGACCAGCATTCCCATGGGCTCTGGATGCACTGATGCACCTCTAAGCAGGGCAGGTGGCAGGGCCACACCTCTGGCCACTCAGAATTGTGCATCAGAGGTACCCAGGAACCGAGTCCTAGCCCAGCGTGGGGACAGCAGGCTGCCTGCCATGGCCACGTGGGCACCACACACTCTGCATTAAGCTTTATGATTTCAAGACCATTGTGCTCAGGACCCGCCCTCCCTGACAAGCGACTGCTCTCTCCCGGGCCCTGCTCTGCCTGCTAGTAGACCAGAGGCATCTTTACTGTGGGTCTGGCCCTCTATCACCTTGGAAATGGATGGGCGTTAGCTTTTATGCCTTCAATCCAAGAGAGATTATAAAACTAGGGAAGCAGGTTAGTGTTAATTTACAGGGCTGCCTGTGGAGGTGATCTGGGTTCTTCAGCGTCCTTGGGGAGATTCCCGAGGTTGTCCTGCCTTCCCTGAGCAGAAGCTTCCGGAGCTTGCAGAGGATCAGACACTTCCCCCTGCATGGAAAGCTCAGCATACGGAAGCCAGGTAGGGGCTCCTGGGGGCGGGTCCAGGGGAAGGGGCGTCCCACCTTTCTGCCCATTTGCTGGGGGCAGCCTCCAGCATGGTGCACCTGCAGGCATGCTTGAGGGCCGTGGCGACCCAGGTAGGTGAAAAGTGCCTGGAAATGACCCGCATGACAGCTTCACCCACGCTCAGCAACCAGGGGGAGAACGGCCGCCGTCCGCCAACGCCTCCTGGGCGCGGGGTGTGTGCCCGGCATTAGCTGTCCTTCTCACCACAGGCCAGTGAGGAAGGCCGAGGGGAGCCATCTCTCATTTCTGCATCAGGAGACGGAGGCCCCAGAAGGCAACCCCTCGTCCAGACACACAGCCCATTAGTGGCAGAGGCAGGACTGGAAGCCGGCGGGGGGTCGGGGGGTGGCCACGTGATGGTGCGTTGCCCCCGCAGGGACACCAGGGCGCAGAGGGGCATCCTTACCCGGCAGGCTGGGGCCTGCGAGCCTCTGCACCTGACTCCCTGCTGTCCTGGGCCCCGCGGTGTGGCCAGGGAGTAGGAGGGGGTCTCGTGCAGCCGCTGGGATGGGTGCAGGGGATGGGGAAGGTTCTGAAGACCCCGCGCCAGCAAATCAAACTGCAGTTAACACAAGCCTCACAGCAGGCAGTGAGGTGTGAGTTTGTCCTGTGACGTCTGCTGGGCTTGAACCAGAGAACTCCCCTCCAGTTCCTGGACTCCTCGGGGGCAGCCCGGGGTCTGGGCTCGGGCTTGGCCGCAGGCGCCTCCCTCCCCCAGGGCAGAAGCACGGAGCCAGCATGGCGCTCTCCCCCGCCCAGGGACGCGGGCTTGCATCCGAGTCAGAGGGCCTTCCAGAACTTTCACACGAAGCCAGGACCAGGACCAGGACGTGCTGGGGAGGTCACGAGCATTCTCTCCTGCCACACCACCTCCCCAGGATGAAAGGTCACGGCAGCAGCGCTTGTGGGAGGGACTGGGGCCAGAAGCTAAAGGGACCGAGGGGGTCCAGGTGATTGCATTACTCTGAGGCCGAGGAGCAGGCATCTTCTAACTGGTCACTACGTTTCCAACACTGTTGCCGCAGACGCCTGGACATGTGTGGCACCTGCGCTTCTGTCTCCGGGTGCACGGCTGGGGCGGCATCCCTGGGCTCGGCTCATGGGGTAGGGGCGGCTCCCTAGTTTGGGAGGAGAACACTTCCCGGAAGGAGGTGGGGCCAGGAACGCCCACTTCCCACCTGCCCACTTCCAGGAAGACCTGCCGTGCACTCAGGGGCCGGGAGGGAGGCCGGCGCAGGCCTGGTCCTGGGGTGACTGCCTAGAGGAGGCAGCCCACGGCGGACCCCAGACCCCCCTGCCGCCTATGCCCTCTGCCTCCTGGTGGACCGGATGGCATTTAAGCACAAACACTCATGAAAACCAGCTCCCTGTGTGTGGCTTGTGAGGCAAAGTTGTGCCAAAGTTCTCGTGACTAAACACTGCTCCTCACGCGCCCCCCGCTCTCGGGCCCGGGCCAGCTCGGTGGGCACCTCGCAGACACCGCCGTCAGCTCCCGGTCACAGGGGTCACCGCCCCTCCTCTGCCCACCCAACTCCACTATTAAAGCCACGCTTCAAACTGCCATGTTGTTTTTAATTTTTAAAATTAAAAAACAGGATTTGACCAAGCTCCCAGCTCCCGCGCTCCATCGACGTAGCAATTTTATGGATCAGAGTTTTGTTTATATTTGCCTAAAGCCCAGAGGAGGAAAGAAATCAAATCCACAGATCAGCATGTATCTGAGGAGACATTTTAGGACTTGGGGAACGTTTTTGTCAATCATTTTCTTAGGAAGAGACCTGGTGGGCCCGGGGATGCCCTCACGGCAGGAGCGGCCAGAGGGGAGGGCCGGAGAGCCGTCTGGCCAGCAGGCCAGCCTGTGCGCTCAGCAGATGAAACAGAAAGAAAAAAGTCCAGCCTCATAGTTTATTCAGAGGAAGAGCACGTTGACAGAAACAATTTCTGTTTTGGAAAATAAACATATGGCTGCATTCTGGGAGCGGGGGCAACATCATAACGGGTGATGAGAGGGGACTCGCAACTCTTGAGACACATGGTCAAGGGACACCTTAAAACGCCAAACAGAACGTTACCTTGTAACTCTGTCCGCCAGGAGACACGTCTGAGCACATCCAACCATCCGCAAAGTCACGAGGCACGAGACTTGCCGGAGCACGATCCGCGCACCGGCCCGTGAGACAGAAAACCATGGTGTTTGTCCAAAGGATGGCTCAGAGCTCATCAACTGCACTTGTGGATGAACTTCCAGGAAGCAGAGTCTGCCCGTGTCCTTCCTTTCCTCTCTCTCAAATCGAGTACCATGTCCAGATCAAGGAGATGGCCCCCACGCACCCGGAAGCCTTCCACACGGCGGCCACGTCGCGTGGAGCCAACGCGGGGCAAATCGGTGGGGGACATGCTTGCAGAGGTGGCAGGCAGTGCCCGCAGCACAAGCCACGGGGTGGGGGGCTCAGCGGGACATGTGTGGAGCCGCCCCGCTCTGCAGCAGGGACGCACCGGACCCCTTCATCGGGACCACCCAGGCCCCTCGTCCCTGCTCCCCGCAAGTGCCTGCCACAGCGTTGAGCCCGGGATGGATGATGCGAGTCACGGTCCCCATGTAGGTAAGCTAGAAACCCCCCACGCCCCCACGCCCGGTTCCTCTGGGGCTTCCTTCTGAGGCGCATGGTTCCCGTCCCCGCAGGGGCAGGATAATCTTTGCGGCTTTGCTGGTCACGGATCTCCTTCCATTAGCGGGATCTCTGTGAAAGGGGAGACAGTTACTAGTTTGCCGCAAGGACCGGCGGTTAAAAGCTCTATTAAAATATCTGTAATTCCCGGTGTCAGAAGAAACTGTTAAGTTCCACATATCCGTTAATAATCATAGAAACCACTCCTCCGTATGCTGCCTCTTTGCTGAAGAACCTTCCACCAGCTCATGAAAAATAAAACGTTAAGACTTTAACCACGTGCCTTTAGGAGTCAAGCCAGACGAAGGACGGGATTCACGGACAGGGAGGCAAGCGGGCGTGTGGGAAGGAGACTGGGCTCTGGGCAGCTGTGGGCACCACCGGGACTGGTGCTCCTGTGTGCACGGGGTGCTGTGAGTCTCCCCGGGGAGACACCCTGGTCTCTCTACCGTGAGCTGCGATCGCCAGGCATGCATGCCTGTTACTTCACGCCTGTTGGGAGCGCCCCGCGTGCACACGGCTTCTCCAGGGCCACCCTATACTGTGTGCACCCGTTGCCTGAGCATGTGCACGGTGACCCTGTCTCTGAGTGCCTCCAGGGCCCCGTCTAAAGCAGGGACGGGGAAGGAACCATTCTGGTTCCCATGGATGCTACAAAACCAAGCACAGGCCTCTGCAGCCAGCGTGTGCCTTCTGAAGTCTCAGCTACGGGCTCATCAAGGGGAACCTGACGGCCTCGTTCGAGGCCTCACACTCAGGGAGAGTGACAAGCGGTGGTTCAGGCCACAGAAAAGGCCAGGCGTGGGGCAAACACTCACCATCTGCGATGTCGATGCCCGGGCTGGTGGACGCCACCTCTCCCGCCATGCCGGCCCCTGTGTCAGCGCTGTCGGGGCGTGTGCCCCCCGGGCACATGGAGGGCAAATACAGACTCTGGAGCAGCTCAGAAGAGCCTGAGCTGCCATCACAGGGTTCTGAGCCCCCCGGGCCTGTGTCCGTGTCTCCTGAGCCGGGGTATGCTGGGGGGCTCTGGTCGTCCACGGGCAAGGGACAGCCCTGGCCCACAGAGGCCAGGTACCCGGGGCCTGATGCCCTCACACCTCCACTCACAGCCTCGTCGTAGGATGGAAGCATGACAGGCACGCCATCCACCACCACAAAGTCCGGGTCGCTGCAGGAGCTCCGCGGAGGCCCCCTGTGCGAAGGAAAGCAGCACCCACAGATCAGACAGCAGGTCCCTGCGGACCGAGGCCACCAGTGACCCTGTGTCCCTGATGGCTGAGGAGCCTGCGTGGAGCTCCTGCGGGAGGACCAGCCTCCTTCCCGGGCCTCCTGTGGCCCATGGCACTCCGCCTGCAGTGTCCTCCTGTCTTGGGCCCCTGCACCCCCCTCAGGCTTCCTCCTCCCCGTCTCTGGCCTCTGTCCACCGGGCCCCCGCAGGGCCCCTTGCGGAGCCTGCTGGGAATGGAAGACAACGGAGACCGACCTGAATCCAGGACCCCACGTGCCACCAGGGAAGGGGGACCCTGTGCTGCTTACGCCACTTTGTTCACGGAGTTTTAATCAAGGTAGAAAACAGGAAGAAAGGAAAGCTCCAAGCCATCTCTCACCACCTGACCCCGTTACATGGGCCCCGCTCCACCCCCCAGCCCAGCAGCCGCCTGAACGCGAGCCACGGGGGCCACCGGGAGGGGCCGTGGTCTGTGTGGGGGGTCCCTGACGCGGCGCCGGCTGATGGCCTCGCCCCTGCATGCCCCGTCACCCCATCACCCCGCAGGCCCTGTCTGACCACCTCTCTGCTCCTGGCCCCCACGGGGCCCCAGTGGGCCGCGAGCGGAGAGAAGACAGCCCGGCCAGCGGGCAGACCCTCATGGTGGCGGCAGGGCTCCAAAGCCCAAGGAAATGCCATGTCGGGATGCGGTGTTGGGGGAGGGCAGCGCCCAGCCCAAGTCTGCGGATGTTTGGGGCGCATTCCAGAGAGCGAGGAGCAAGGCCCACTGCCCGGGAGGCAGGGCGGGGATGAAGGGCGAGCTCGCCGCGAACCTTCAAGAGGCTGCTCGCTCTCGTTCGGGTGCCCTGGACAAGCCAGCCCCCTTCCTCCCGGGCCTCTCCCTGTCCACGGCACCCCCCCACAGCGCTTAGCCCCCATGTGTGCTCATTGAGTGGTTCTCCAGCGTCCACACCCATGCAGCCCGAGGAAGAGTCCATCCTGGGCTTGCCCCAAACAACGTGGTCTTCTATCTGGACAGCTGAGCAGCTTTTCCAAGCACCCCCACGTGCCATAAACCACGACGTGTGGGCGAGCCCCCCTCTGTGACCCCTGGGCCTTCTTCAGACACTGTAATTGCTCACTATGGAACACAGGCCCTGATTACTAAGCTGTGCTGTTGAGGACAGAGACCGCAGGACAGAAGCTTCCGCCATCTTGGCAGAGGATTGGCTGTGGCACTTCGCAGGCTGGGCCGGGAGACGGGGAGCCTGCGGGGTTGGGACCCCTGCAGCCGGGCAGGTGCATGGCACAGCGGCTCAGCAACAGGAGGCCAGAGCGGGATGTGAGGTCCAGGGAGGAGGCAGGCAGGTGCCGTCCCTCCCTCCTCACCCGGCCGGGACTGTGAGGGACTCAGGATTTTCCAGAAGCCTCCTCCTCCACCATCAGCACCCCCTTTATGAGGGGGCACGCACAGCTCTGGGGGTGGCGCTGTCCCCATGGGCAGACAAATGCCTTTTCTGGAAGCATAAGGCCCCTGAGGGGAGGCCAGCACAGGGGCCCGAGAATGCTCAGGACTCCGTGAAGCGAGGTGGCTGAAGGCGGCTGGTGTTGGGGAGGTTGGCCAGCACCCTGCCCTCCACCTCGGATGGCCGCACGCTCGTCACCCGGCTCTCCCAGCAACACCTCCTCCTGGGAACGTGGCCGGCCAGCAGCCACGGTGATGGCTCTGTTGTTGCTGAGGAGCTGGCCTGCTTCCGGACAAGCTCCTCTTCTGTGATGACGGAGGGGAGGACGGAGGCATCGGCCTGAGCCTCTCGGCGCATGGGCAGGGGAGGGCGAGCAGGTCCTGTCTCCTACCCCACGCCTCCTCCAGAACCCTGTCTCCTTCTGGAGATTTCCAGGCATGCCGTTCTTGAACCTCTGTTGCATCACACACCTTTGCCGCATCTCCTAATTCCGTGAATTTCTTACCCTCCCTGTGGGCCGTGGGCGACGTGCGCGTGATGGGAAAGGAGTCCTGGGGGTCCTGCGTGGCAGCAACCCCGACTCTGCACGCCCCTTCTCCACGCCCCACAGCGCTCGGGGCTCACGTGGAGGTGGAGGAGAGGGCGGGGAGCCCTGTCCAGCCCGCGCTCTGACCACAGACACCCCACCGCACCCCACAGGAGCCTGACCCTTGACCCTCTGCTCTCACCATCCACCTTCGTAGGTGCTGGACCCCGGCACTCACCTGGGGGGAAAGTGGGCCTTGAACTTGGTCTGGAACATCCTGGCCAGGATGACGAGCACCAGCACCAGCAACACGCTGGTTGCCGTGAACGCCACGATCTTCCATGTGGTCAGGAGGGTCTCGTGGCTACTGGGCCACGTTTGCTCTGCCGGGAAGAGAGCAGAGCGGTGCATGAGGCTTTCGGACTGGGACGGCCCTGTGTCCGTTTGTGGGTGATCTGGGAAACAGCACGCTTATCACGTGCGTCTGGGGGCTCCCCACATCTGGACTCCACCCCCTACACTGTGCCTGCAGCATGGCCCCTGCAAGGCACCCACAGGGGCCACTCCCCACGGGGCTGAGAGCCCGGTGCCCAGGTGGGAGCACTCCTGCTGGAGGCCCGAATGGGGGTCCATCTCCCCGGGGAAGCTGTGTTTGCAGTGCACCTGGGCCAGGGGGCAGCGGGCCATGGGGAGGGGGTCCTGGGCTTGAGGGCTGAGTAGAGAGAGGGACAGAGGAGTAGAGGGGCGAGCCTCCCCACCACCTCTGGCTGTCAGCACACCTGCAGGAGGGGCAGCCGACAGTGAGCCTTCTGGAGCAGTTCTTATCCCTGGGGCCCAGACCACCCTGTCTGCCCCCCGCCGTCCTCCCTTGTTGCTGCCGCCTCAACAGGCATCCTGCTCTGGCTCCCGTTGCCATTCATCGGCCTCCAGAGGCCCCGTGTCACCAGGTGCTGCCCCCGGGTCACCAGGTGCTGCCCCCACATATGGGGGCTGGGGGCTATGTGTTCAGTGATCGTCAGTGCTCTGGCAGGAAGGGCCGGGGCAAGCGGGAGACGGTGGGTGGCTGGGTGCTGGTGCCCTGGTCTGCGCCCCGTGCTCACCACCCGGGCTCCTTAGGTCAGCGGTAAGGCTGGTCTGCTAGTCACTTGTTATGAACCGAGAGGCACCAACGTTTGTAAGTGGCCTGGGCCTTCCTACACGTGAGGGCAGGTGTTCTGCATAATGACACCCTCTGGGTTCTGACACGTGTCCTCACACACAAGAGAACGGCTGGGTTTGGGCCACATGCGTGGGCTGAGGTCCCTGCCTGTGGGAGGGACAGGCTGGGGGCAGACAGAGCGGCCCCTCCTGCCCCAGGGATGGGGACTCACAAAGATGAGTCTCTGCTTCGCGTCCCTGACCCTCGCGTGGTGGGGGGGACACGGCCGGCGGCCACCGTGTGTGGCATGGCCGGGGCCGTGAGCGCTCACCTGACTTGATGCAGTAGACTTGGTAGGAGGGAAACCACTCCCCGTACTGGCAGGTGATGTACTTGTAATCACTGGTGAGGCTGTAGCCGGGGTCGCAGTAAAACTCCACCACGGTCCCGTGGTTGTAGCGCTCGCAAGGCCAGGGGTGGCAGACGAAATCGCCGTGACTCACAGTTGGAGGCAGCGGACACACTGAGGCGGCGGGGAGAAGAGCTCCGTCAGCACTGCGTGCCCGCCGTCGGGCCCGTCAGGACACAGGTCCGGCGGGAAGGGGAGTCTGCACGTGCACCACCAGACCTGCGACCTGTCGCCGCGGGGTCACCCAGGAGCCCGCTAAACATGCCGAGCCCCCGCGGCCGCTGCCCAGCACTGTCGACCACCTGGTGAAGCAGAGGTTGGTCTCGCGCGGTAGAGAGCGTGCCTGTTTCACGAACAGCGTTAAGCAACTGTGTTAATGGCGCGCGCCGTTCTCTGCCCGACCACAAGGTTGGTAACATTAGGGTGTTCGTGGATGAAGCCCTTACTACAGGGCCTGCCGGCCCAAGCCTGTTTGTGTGCTATGGCAGCCATCTGGGGCTGTCCACACCCCTGGGTGTCCCCATCCTGATCCCCATGTGCCTTGCGGGGGCTCGACCCAATCCTGCCGGCTGCGTGTGGACCCCGGATGGGCTGCTGATGGGGGAGCGGGCATCGCGCAGAAGGAGCCTGGATCCGGGGCTCGGTTCGGCGCCCGTGCATGTGTGACCTCCCGCAGGTCACGTAGCCTCTCCCAGTCTGATGTTCTTCCCTGTATGATGGAAGCCTATTCTACCCTCCACGATTTACGGTTTTTCTGACTCTTCTATTCTTCGATTTTAGGGGAAGGAAAACGTTTTTAGTTTCTCCTCAGGACTCAGAACGGCCAATCTGCTTCAACGTCCCCGGGAGGCAAAGCATAGCCCGCTTCACGTCCACACCTGTGGAAGCCCCCACGCACAGGCCACGTGTGCAGGAGGCCCTGGGGCCCGCTAGCAGATGGGCCCCCGCACACAGAGCCGTCCGGAGGTGTGGGGGCGAGAGGCCCCTACAGACCCTCTTCCAATCCCGCAGAGAACAGGCAGTGAGATCCTGTGAGCTCTTTGCAGAGATGGGGAAGCAGAGCTCACGTCCCCGGTCTGAGCTCTGGCTCAACGGCAGGCCAGCTGAGCGACCCCCAACAAGCTGCTTCTCACCGGTGAACCTCAGTGTCCTCGCCTATGAAACAGGAGAGTTTGGGGGCTGTTCTGATGTCATGGAAGTGGGCAGCCAGGGACAGCCAGGCCCCAGGAGCCAGAGGGACACTGTGCAGGGACCACTTACGTGCTGGTGGAGAGTGGCGGCAGCATGCAGCGGCCCTGCTGCTGGGTCCCCAGTGGAAGCTGGAACCGGGCAGGTGTGTCCTGCAGGGGCCGGAGCCCAGGGAGACCCCAATACCACCCGGGATGCCCCAGGGCCCGACTTCCCTGCCTGCCCAGCCCGCAGGCTCCGTCTAGACTGGGGGGCGGGGGTAGCCAGCTGATCAGGGGCCTGGGAGAGGCGGCCTGCCGGGCAGTGCAGGGTCGCAGCTGGGGCCTGAGGTCGCAGGCCCGGCGTGCCCCATGAATGTGGTGTCAGGTGCAAACAGGCAGGGTCAGGAACAGAGCCCCGACTTCAAGGCTGAGGGGTAGCCGCCGCCTTTCCAGAGCTGCCCAAGGAGTCCCATCCCCAGTGCATGGCCAGCTCCGCACACTGGGGCTCTGGTCAGATGCACCACCTTCAGGATGCTTGAAGCGTCCCTGGTGGGTGAGCAAGGTGGCCGGTGAGTAGGAGGGAGAGGGTGAGGCACCAGCCAGTCTGGGGATGCCGGCAGAGGTGTGGCAGGTAGGGAGCTGGTGGGGCTCTGGGAAGCGCCTTCCCGGCTGAACGATGCCCTGAGCCCCAGACGGATAGGCCCGGTGGGGAGCGTCCACATCTGCGGTGAGGCCAGCCTGGCCGTGACCTCTGCCCAGGTCCCCCCCCACAGCCCAGAGCCCCCATAGCGCTGCGCCCGAGGGAGGCCCTTTCTGTGGTCAGGGGCACATGGGGCTGTGGGACTCTCTCCCAGCAGGCACTCTGAGCAAGTCCTGGAGCCACTAGGATCCAAAACTACCAGAATGTTTCCAAGGCCCAGGGAGCCGTGGTCTAGGCAGCACTACCCAGCCTTGGCCTCAAAGACAAAGGACAGTCCCCATCACTGCATTAACCCCAAGGCACAGGGTCCCACGATGTGCTACAGAATGACGGGGCTGGACTGATGAGCCATCCAGCAGGGAAACCGAGGCAGTGGGGCGCAAAGCGGCACGGGCTGTGGACGTCCCCAGATTTACGTGCAAATCGCAGCTCTGAGCTGATGAGCTCCAGCGTGCTGGGTGGCGCGTTTGAGTTCTTGAGTTTTAGCTTCGCCATCCACGTAACGAGGGAACGATTCCTAACTCCTCGGGTGCCTGTGAGGATTGGGAGCAGCCCAGCTGGGCACCGCCAGGCCCTGATGCAGCCAGGACCCCCCCCACCCCACGCATGCAGTATGAACATACACCCTGGGGTTATGTACACACGGTACACACACACGCTGGGACCGAATACGTGTACACATGAGGCATATACGCACTGACGGTATCTGCATACACCGTGCATGGCGATGTGTACGTACACCGTGAGCCCACATACCACATGTGAGCATGATCGCAGGTACGCACGCACACCGCTGGCTCGGCTTCTCTCTGGAACCCTGACGCCACAGCTCCTCCACCTGAGTCTCCGACCCCACCCTGACCCTACAGGTTAGAGTCCTGCAAACGGAGGTCGAGGTCAGAAACGGCCCGGGCCTCACTGGAGACTCAGCTCTTGTCTCCCCGGTTACACCCAGAGCCCCAGGCCCCGAAGCCCCTGCCCCAGGGCGGTCAGAGAGCCGGAGACGCCGCCCGCCGGTCAGCAAGGCCCTAGATGGCTTCACGGCGCCGTGGCAGAGTGCAGGCGGGAGGTGCGGACTGTGTGGGGTGCCTGGGCGAGAGCGGTTCAGGGACGGTCCGTCTGCAGGCGGCTTGCTGCCACCACGTCCCGCGGGCCCACAGGCCAACGCCGGCACTCCGACCGTGTGCTTCTAGTCCAGGACATGGGGAACCAGACGTAGCAATCTGACTTTCAAGGTGACCTTGGTGCAACATCAAAGACTGTTTTCATTTCTACATATTGAAATACAATTTTAAATTTAAATTTAAATTTAATTTTCGTCTAAAGCGGGGCTCGTATTAGGTCTTTGACTTCATTTTTTCTATAATCCATTTTTATCCAATGTTACACGGTTATCAGTCTATAACATGTTAGAAAACAGAAGCCAAACCGCTGGTTCTCTCGGTGCGGGCAGATGAGAGGCTTGGGCACAAGGAACGCACGATGCCCACAGAGCGGCAAGGAGCTGGTCACGGGCTGTGCACAGGGCCAGGCACACGGAGGGCCAGTGGGAGACAGGGAGAGTGGCAGGGACGGTGGCCCCGGGTCCAGAGAGGGGGTGGAGGGGCTGCCGGGCAGGAAGCCCAGGGTCTAGCCTGTGTGTGCTGGACACTGGGGGAGCAGGGACGGACACCGCTCAGGAACGGCCAGCGCTAACGTGAGACAGTCCGCCGGGAGCAGGGATGGCAGCGGTGAGGCCGTCGTGTGGCTCAGGCCAGAGCCAGGAGAGGAAGGAGGTGGCCTGGCCCAGGACAGAGGCAGTGACCATGAGGAGCACAGGATGGGATAGACTTCAGCCTGTTCCCACAACAGGACTGGTGAGGGTTGGAGTCTGGAGTTGAGGGTGTCTCCCAGATTTCTGACATTGGTGCCTGACAGAGGGTGGAGCTCCTCGCCAGGACGGGTTGTCCTGCTGGGTTTGCTCATCAGTAGGAAGTATGGCACCGAGGTCTGGCTTTGCATGGGCTCCTCTGAGCTAAGGGAGATCTCCACCCGGGGCAACCGTGGAGAGCGTCTGCAGCTCGCCTGGAACTCAGGGCTCAGGAGCACAGAGATAAAACCACAGGGTGGGGCGAACTCCCCTGGTGGGGGGGGGGTCCCAGTCCAAACGCTGGAATCGGCCGGGGGCACAAGAGTGGCCGAGCAGAGGGCCGTGTCACCGGAGCCAAGGGTGGAGAGCGTTTTGGGGAGCAGGGTGGCTCCTAACAAGTGAGAAAGCTGGGAGAAGAGCGACACCTGACTTGGCCACACGGAGTCCCCGGGACCTCAGCAGAGGGACGCCATTTAGGAATGAGCTGAGGAGGAGACGGGTGGGTGCAGACAGTGGTCAGAGGTCTGCTGAGCTCATGGAGATGCCCCTGACACCAGGGCTTTGAGCACAAGGACTAGATGGGGGCAGGGCGGGTGGAAGGAAGCCCCCGAGGGGGCAGACTGGCTCTCACGGGGGACACGGGGTGGGGAGGCAACAGAGATGTGGGTAGCCTGGTGGCCATAGGCGAGTCCCTACGGAGGACTGAGGGAGGCCACCTGCTGGGGAGACCTGGCCTGACCATCCGGTCACTCGCCTCAGGCCTCAGCCGCTGACCTCTCTCCGGCCAACAGGAGAACAAGTTCATAGAGTCTGTGCCTCGCGAACACAGAATGTACCGTGGGGGCAGAAGTGTGTGGGGCACCACCCCCGGTTGCCGCTGTTTTGGGAACCCCCGGAGCCACGAGCCCAGGTGTGCTGACCAGTGCTTCAGGGCTCGTCCTGTGGGAGGGAAGGGCCACCCCTCAGTCTGTGCGCCCGGACCGCCTGCCTGTGGCGCTGGTGCTGGGGGGCTGCTCGCCACCCCACAGGGCTCAGAGCCACCTCATGGTCATGCTAGCTGACGTGACAAATGCTACATCCAGGCTGAGCCACGAAACGCGCTGAGCCTCAGGCTGACCACAGCAGAAACGACCCCAGGGATCCCGGGAGCCACACCCTGAAGACAGCTGAGCCCAAGTGACTGGCCGGCCCACACGCACGAACACCAGTGCGTGAAGATCCACTTCTATTCTGGTGGAGCCACGGAACGTCTCGGGGGACGCGCTCACATCCATGGCCTACCACGTTCTCCCCGGGGTCGAACAGCGCCGTGCGCCCACCCAGCTGCTCCTGCCGCCCCCATCCATCCACGCTGCACCTGAACCATGTCTCAGTGACGCATGTCAGTGGGTCCTCA